GTGGCCAGGAGCAGACTTGCAGAATGTGCCCTTTGGAGATGTAAATTATTATATATGCCTAAGTGGGTTTTTTTGTTTGTGTGTTTTTTAAAAAGCTGAAGTGGATAGAGAGAAATACTTTTAACTGGTTGGTATATGGAGGGGATTATAATCAATGTAATGAAACTAGTTATATGAATGGTTGAATGTGAAACTGATGATGTGCCCTGTAAACTTTCACTCAATCCACAATAAAAACCTTAAATTAAAAAAAAAAAAGGAATGAGAATTATGAAAAAACAATGTCTGCTAAACGTTTGAGAATTCTATTATCCAACTTTATAAACTGATGTTACCCAAGAGGACTGTCTTAAAATCATCTACTCCATATGACAATATGAGTTTGCTCTGTGTTCATTACCCAACAGTATCAGTTCTACAGTTTTAAACAGGTATACATTTCTAAAGGTACACCCACTTAAAAGTGCTACATATCCTCCCACAGAGAAGTATTTTAAAACTCTAATAACTCTAGCTAGATCTGAAGTAGATCCAACTTGAAATCTAAAGCTAAGACGTTAAACCAAACACATCAAACTACTGCTAAACATAACTTCCTGGTAGTGGGCATATAGAGAGGAATGTAACAAAAAGGATTACCAATTGCAATCTTTATGCATTATGTATCCCTTATCCAGGTCATTATACATCTCTGGCAACAACAAAAAATAACTTTCTGTAATATGGGATCATATTGCTTACACACTTCATATGTGTAGAAAATACAACCCATTTCACAGGGTTTGATATATGCTAATTTTCCAGTTCTTGTTTTACTAAGGGGAACAGAACCATCACAGGTGTGCTTTGGGCAACACACACGCCTACCTTTTCATTTATGGCTATATTTAAATCTTTGTTTAAAAGGGAAAATCTTGAGAATTTTGCTTCAGAGCATCCCAGTCGCTCTTGGTATCAATCAGATCAGCTAGTACAAGCTGAACACAAGTGTGTCCCTTCACTCCTGACAGCTACAGCAGAATGGTACTGAAGCAGCTGTGCAAGCAGAAGAGCCAAGGCATTCTTTAGCACCACAGCGTAACCAAGGATGGGAAGCACGGCCATCCATTGGTTTAAATATAGTGCTGGTCATACTGATTTTTGTAGAAACAATTGAGTAACACTAAAGTCATTTAGTATCCTCTTTATAAGTTTCATATGGACAACTGGTAAAAAACAAGTCCTTTTTAATTAAAGAGAGGATAAAAAATAGCGATTCATATATATGGCCCACTCAATTATCCAAAAGCAGCCACCAATTTAAATCACCCATGACTTTCAGAGTCACTCTTTTGCCTACTTTTCATAGTTTAATTAAGTAAATTAACATTTTGATTATCTTGACCTTCAATAAAATATCGGCTAGAGAACCAATCACATGCAGGGCTCCATCTTTCTTCCGAGGGTCAAAGTTCAGGTCTGTTAGGATTTGATAACAGAATGCCATCATTTTTGGCAACACCTAGAGAAATAAAAGAATCCATCTTAGTCTACATGAGCTTTCACTGCATTATTTAAATATCAAATACGAGCACCTATTTTCAGAAACGGACCATCTGTTTTCCTTTATCAAACAATTATAATCTACTGAAAAACAGAAGAATGAGCAATGAATGATACATCACCCTATCTCCTCACTATAACAGAAAAATATTCTTAAAGTGACATAATAACAATAATATTTTTCAAATACTGTTGTACTGTGCATTCAAGTCACTTTCAACTCACAGGGTTTCTGACAGTGGCTGGTTGCCAACATTGCAGTTACCAGCCTAACGCTTATCCTAAAGTGCCACACCTGGGCTTGTTGTTGTTAAATGCCATCGAGTTGGTTCTGACCCATAGCAATCTTGTATAGGGTTTCTGAGGAGTGGCTCGTGAGCTTGAACCGCCAACCTTGCAGTCCAGCGCATTAACCCACAGCACCACATCAGGACTCCTACACCGGGGCTTGTTGTTGTTAAGTGCTCTCAAGTCGATTCTGACCCATAGCGACCCTGTATAGGGTTTCTATAGGTGAGCTTGAACCACCGACCTTGCAGTTCAAATGGCTTTGCAGTCTGACACATTCACCCACAGCGCCACACCAGGGCTAGTGGTATGTTTATTTAGAGTGCCAAATCACTATAGGCTGGCTATCTGTGAGTTTTAAACTTAATAAAACGAACGATACCTCTTTTCTTTTCTTTGCCGCAGTATATAAGAGAGCCTGGGCTGCGGTGGTGGGAGAGGCATAATCTTCGAAAATATCTGTAATTTCAAAAGGATAAGCTATGTTAGAAAAAAAGGCAATTATTTATTACAGATTTTACTGCTGGTTTAAAGAAAACGAGGCTAGCAAAGACATTAGGAAAGAGAAATAAGTCATACAGGTATGATGATTTTCAAAAGACAAAGGTTGAAGGGAGGGACAGAGCAGATCATAAACATTGTTCTTCATTCATTTCCTTTTCCTGGGCTTTGTCTCCAAAAGAGGTTCCTCCACGTTTGCCATCATTTTTGGCATTTTGGCTGACCCTGAGGTTAGCAGCCCGATTTGTAACTACTACGCTACCAGAGCTCTGGTAGCGTAGTGGTTATGAATCGGGCTGTGAACCGCAAGGTCAGCAGTTCGAAACTACCAGCCGCTCCGCGGGAGAAAGATGAGGCTTTCTGCTCCCGTAAAGATTTACAGCCTCGGAAACCCTGTACAGGGTCGCTATGGGTCGGAACCGACTCAATGGCACTTAACAACAACAACAACGCTACCAGAGCTCCTTACAGAATGGATAATGAATGCAAAATACAGCCAATATATAGGAGAAAGTTCCTGTACTCAGGTAGATTCTAAGTTGTGGGTGACAGAGGTACACAAACAGCATTCTGGCATGTCAAATATGATGAACTCAAGGCAATCTACACAGTTCAGCCACTTCCAGGAAGATTCACCCTAGAAGGACTCCAGAGCATGGAGACAAGCATAGTGTGCCATTGTAGGTAACCCCATTCTCTTCTGAAAACTTAGCCCCTAGCATCAAGTTAGGGTGTTCCTAAAATATGCAGAAATCCAAGGGCTCTCCCAGGTGGAGAACAAACCAATCTATAAATGGGTTTTCCTAAAAGATAAGTACCTGCAGATCAGTATCTCAACAACAAAAGCCAACAGCTGGCTCCCTGGCTGCTTCAGTGACCATGAAGCAGATGAATCAAGTACAATGACTTTTCACCTCCCAGACCCAAAGGTTTCAAGAGACTGGTTCAATGCAACACCAAACTTTCATGGATTTCAGAATTTATCATGAACTCTGAAATTTTATAAAATAATAAAATCTGCTTAAAATAGAAATTTAGTGATATTACTTTACAGATCCAGGAATTGATGAGGAATAGAACTATTTGTAATATTACCAAATTTCATCCTTATATATTCATAGGGATCCTCTTGCCATAGCTCTTCATCCTCATCTTTATAACACATCACAGAAAAAATCACATCCTCAGAGATATTCTAAAAGAAGGAAATACAAAACAATGAATGAATGTACAATGTAGGGATACCAAGAATGTAGTTACTGACAGCCTTTCAGGCCTCAGTTTTGTTGTAGCTCTTCTATACTGTTATAATGATTTTTCTGTTAAGCTTAAATTTACGAAGGTAGACGCAAGAAACATCAGAGCTTCTGAGAGATGGTTAGAGTGGTTACACTTCAATTGCTTTGAAACATGATTAAAGGTATATAGAAAGAGACACGTAAAGTGCTACTCTTAGAAGCAACCGAAAAAGTAATAAAATTCTACCAACAAGTCGATAGGACTTCTGGTGTGGCACTGTAGGATAAGCACTGGAATGCTAACTGTAAGGTCGGTGGTTGAAAACTTACCAACTGCTCCTCAGAAACCCTGTACAGGGTCTCACTATGAGTCAGAACTGTCTCAAGGGCACTTTAACAACAACACAAGTCAATATTAAACATACTTTGATTCTTTAAGGAAGAGTCAAAAATTTCAACCCAAGGTCATATTTACAATTATATTTTTTACTTTGAAATTTTTTACGTTTTGGTCCTAAATGTCAATTTATCTACAATATTAAATCGTATCTAATAGTTTGTCAGTATACTGATGCTAATGTTTTGTTAAGACCTTTTGTGCTTTAACAAGTACATATGTAAAAAAAGGATCATCATTTTTATTATTTATTGCAAATTTTTAAATTCTAAAGGGAAAATTCAATCTAAGGATGACAGTTGTCTTATTCCTATATTGTTGTTGTTGTTAAGTGTTATCGAGTCAGTTCTGATTGAGAGAGATCCTGAATAGGGATTCCAAGGAGCGGCTGCTAAGTTTGAACTGCCAACTCAACTGACTTTGAGGTAATGTGCTTATCCTACAGCGCCACACCATGACTCCTATTCCTATATTACAATCATAAAAATAAAATCAAAGGTATCAATTAGAGAAGAAATACTGTCAACTCATTACTTTATAAGAACATAAACAGCAAAAAAAAATTGAAATCAGTATATGTATAAATATAAAAATGTTATCAGTTTTTGATCAAGGCAATTGGAAAAGGATTTGTTTTTAAGATGTTCAGATATATATTTATTTGTCAGACCTAATGATAAACATATGCAATCCTGGACCCAACGGCAAAAGAATTTACTGTCTTTTTTTAGATACCAACTTCTTGTTGTTAAGTACCGTGGAGTTGGTTCCAACTCATAGATACCAACTAAGAGATTTAAAAAATCATACTTTAAAATTTTAGTTCCTAAGCTCTGGTAGCGTAGTGGTTACGAATCAGGCTGCAATCCTTAAAGGACAGCAGTTCGAAACTACCAGCCGCTCCACGGGAAAAAGATGAGACTTTCTGCTCCCATAAGATTTACAGCCTCGGAAACTCTGTACAGGGTCGCTATGGGTTGGAACCAATTCAACGGCACTAAACAACAACAACAGCAACAATGTCTTGAAGTATCCAAAGTTATTTTAATGCAAGTCAAAATTTATCAGTGGTCTCTAATTTTCCATTCTCATTTGTCTTTTAATTAAGTAACAATGCTGAATTCCACCTTTACATTGAAAAATTAATTTCTGCTCCAGAACATAACATCAAAAACAAAGAAAGAAAAACTGTTTATTCATGCAGTTACAAAGGAAAATGGTTATGTATTAGGCTGAATTTTCCTGCAAAACACCACTATCTTAGAAGCGTACTAATGACAGTTTCAAAATGCTTTCACATAAAATATTTCATTTGATCCCAGTAACATTTAGATTAAAAAAATCCAAGCTTTCCAATGAATGCAACTCAAGTCCTCATTCTTCTCAAATGCTGAAATTTCCATGTCATCTTCATATTATGAGACAACCATCATCCGAAACTATTAATCGGAATAAAAATATCAAATAATGATACAATTTGATAAACTTGACCTACACCTATGGATGCAGGAGCTCAAAAGAGGGAACAAATCTTTACAGCGAGGATCATTCCCACCCCCTCCACACACAGAGTAGACAGGGATGAGTAACTTGGACATTGGTTACCCAAAATGGTGGTTGGGGGGGCGGGGCTACAAAGGCAAGAAGCAACTGGCTTACAAGCTTTCAAGAGGAAGCCTAGATCCAGAGGGCATGGAGGAAGGTAGAATCTCCACTGAGTAGTATCCAATCTGTCTGGGCAGGGCTGATGAAAGGAGATGGTGACAGGTCTCTTGTGGTACAATAGTGAATAATTGCTGTCAGGACTGGTTGTGAGGGTTGGAAATGTAAAGGTAGACGTTTTGTAGCAAAAGGAGGGGAGCCATTGACTTTGCAGTCTAGAAACAGAGGTCCCTGGGACCATCAAGGGAGAAGAGTGGAGTGCAGGGGCCCAGAGAAACAGTGATGCCAGAGATGGAAGCAGAGACAATGACGTAGAGAGATGGGGCGGCTGGAAACTCTAGACCCAGAGAGGGAGAAGGGCTGTGTGCTGACCACCAGGGGGCAGGCTTGCCTGGTGGTTGGTTGATGATGCATGGAGGGGATTGTAACCATGGGAATGAAATGATTTACGACAGGATGAATGTAAAGCTAATGTTCTGCCGTGTAAACTATCACATAATTCACAATAAAACATTTTTTAAAAATAAATATGATTGGTAACACTTATTTTGTCTGGAAAACTAAATCAAGCAAGAAATAATTTTTGGAGAGCTGCTTCCACAGGCACAAACCTGTATGTGTGGCTTCATCTGCTTCCAAGTTACAGAATGAACAACCCCTTGATTGAGATAGTTGAATGCCTGCTGAAGAACACGGGGGGTGACATATTCTTTCTGTCGATATTGGTCTAAGATCTTTAGCAGTACCTATAGAAAAGTAGAAAAAAGAAATATAGAAGGACATACAAACTATTTTAAAGTTAAGAAAAGGGTGACAGCTTTTTAGAATCCACAAAAGTAAAAATGAACAGATTTAACTAAATGAAAACTTCCAAGAGCAAAGGATTCTATAAACAAATTTTAATCTGCAATAAAGTGCCATTTCAGATTGGAGAAAAGAAAATAATAATTCAAAAATTCAAAATTGGAACAACTGATTAGACTTCTGAAAGAAACTAAAGTAGCTTTCCAATGAAAGCTTCATACCAAAATAACTCCACATGGGAAAATAATTCAACAAAATAATCAAAGCACAAAATTCTTATAATAAATGAGGGGGGATTTTACAATCTCAGATCATGGAAAGTTTTAAGTGTAACACAAAACTGAGAAGCTATTTTTTTAAGGGGAAGCAAGATGGCTCAGTAAGATAAGCACTAGACTATGAACCACAAGGTCAGCAGTTCGAACCTAACAGCCACTCCAAAGAATGATGAGGTTTCCAGCTCCTCAGAAACCCTATACAGAGTTGCTATGAGTCACAGCTGACTCAAAGGCACTTAATAACAACATTTTTTAAAAAACACATTTAAAAAAAAACAACAGGATTGAGTATAAGAAAGCAGAGAGGCTATGACTGACTCAAGGCCCCTCTGAGCACTACATCGTAACTCAAATCTTTTCAAAAGTTCCTGGTGTCTGGGGCTCTCTCTTACATCATGCTATAACGAAGTTAATGAATAAATGAAAAGGATGCTTTTAAAATATGTACTAATTTATACATTGAGATCATGAATTTAGTTCAAGTATTTCACCTTAAGATAACAACGAAAGAAAAACAAACCAAAGCCCCGTGCCACTGAGTCGATTCTGACTCACAGCAACCCTATGAGGGGTTTCAGAGACTATCAATCTTTATGGGAGTAGGCACCCTCATCTTTCTTTTGGGGAACAGGTGGTGGATTTGAACAGCCACCCTTGCAGTTAGCAGACCGATGCCTAACCCACAGTACCACCAGGGCTCCTTCCTTAATATGACAGGTTCAAATAAATTAAACTTCACATTATTGACAATAAAGAACACCAATATGAACAGGTTTTTAAAAAATCTACAACAATGACCATATCATTAAAGTATTTTATTATGCCTGATTAAACCTGCTTCCTAGAACAATCAATGTTCCATAGTTATTAAATTACATAGTTAAAGATTAACAAAAATATAAATCATGATTCAAACGGCAACACTGATTAACGTGAATTGTTTCTAAAAAAAGTTCTGATTTTTACTGTACAAAATAGTTCTCAAACTTACACTAAAAAACGTATGTTCTACCCACACTTGCAGATAATACCCACTTGACCTGGCTTCAATAATGGGATGATCAGACCTCAACCAGAAGAAGAAAGAAGAGGAAAAAAAGAGTAATCTGATACAATTTGATGAACTTGGTCTACACCTATGGAGGCAGTAGCTCAAAAGAGGAAACAAATCCTTACTGCAAGAATCATTCCCACCCCCTCCACACACACAGTAGACAAGGATGGGCAACTTAGAAATTGGCTACCCAAAAAGGGGGGGGGGGGGCTACAAAGGCAAGAAGTGACTAGATTACAAGCTTTCAAGAGAAAACCTAGATCCAGAGGGCATGGAGTAAGGTAGAATCTCCAGTGAGTAGTATCCAATCTGTCTAGGCAGGGCTGATGAAATGAAATGCAGATAGGTCTCTTGTGATACAACAGTGAATAATTGTTATCAGGACCGAATGTGAGGGTTGGAAATGTAAATGTAGACATTTTATAGCAAGGAGGGGAGTAATTAACTTTTCAGTCTAGGAGCAGAGGTTCCTAGGACCATCAATGGAGAAGAGCGGACAGCATGACCCGACCCAGAGAAGCAGTGATGCCTGAGATGGAGGCAGAGATGATGACATGGAGAGATGGAGCATCTGGGGACTTGAGATCCAGAGAGGGAGAGGGGCTCTGTGTTGATGACCGGGGGGGCGGGGAACAGGCTTGCAGGTATACCCTTTGGTTGATGATGCCTGGATTGTAACCGTGGCAATGAAACAATATACAATAGAATGAATGTAAAACTAATGCTCTCCCACATAAACTATCACATAATTCACAATAAAACATTAAAAAAAAAAGTGTATGTTCTTAGCTGAAAGTCTTAACTTGTAAATCAACTCCTCTTGAAATAATTCAATTCATATTATCTTCTATTTCAACTCATAAATCTTTTACTATAAAAGCTGACAACAGAGGGTGATGATGCATGGACGGGATGGTAACTATGGCAATGAAACGATGTATGATAGAATGAGTGTAAAGCTAACGTTCCCCCATGTAAACTATCACACAATAAAAGGAAAAAAAAAAAAAAAGTTGACAACAGAGAAATGAACCCCAAAGAGTAAAGAAGTTGAAAAATGTTTAAGAGGTCAGAGAGAGCTAATAGAAGAACTTAATCTAGTCCTGGTGTGGCACTGTAGGATAAGCACTATGGGCTGCTAACTATAAGGTTGGCAGTTCAAACACACCAACCAATCCTTAAAAGTTATCGAGGGTTGCTATGATAGCACTTAACAATAACAACAACAATCTAATACTGATGACTGCTATACCAGTTTCAGTATACTTAAAAGGTTTCAATCCAGAGGATAGGAAATCTGCAAGGGCAGTTCTGTAGTAACTACCCTGGAATTTTAGAAACTAAAATTGATGATATTAAGATTCCAAGAGCTGCCATTCCATCCCTTACAAATATGTAATGTATTATATTTGAAATATACTTTCAAATGGTTATAAATTACTTCACTTTTAATAGCAACCATTCTTCTACTTTGAAAACATAAGTTCATTACCTGCTGAATTCCTACTGCATATGTTTTTAAGAAAAATTCAGAAAATTCGAAGTATTCTTTTGTGACTGTTCCTGGGCTTCCATACCTAAACATACAAGAGAAAATGTTTAAATATTCTGAAATTTAAAAGCAAAGAATACTCATTAGCTCAAATACAATCTCTTCTTGAAAATTATATTCCACTGGGGCAGAAAACTTAACACTTTAATACTTTATCCATTTTTCAAAAGCTCCATATTCATGATGATCCATACTTAGACTCTAAGCCACATTTAAAATTTCACACACAAGATTTGCCTACTGAAAAAAGAGCTTCTCAAGGGCAAAGATTACAACTAAGAATATGTTAGATCTGATAAATAGTAGATTTCAATAAATTCTCTTAAAAATAAATTTGACTATAATTTTGTATGGAGCTGAGTGGCCATACACCTTCATCCACAATTCTTGGACATGTCCACTAACATACAAAATGTCATTTCCACCATGCTTGTAAAAGAACAAAAATGATCCAGAGATGTCTACCCACCTCCTTATGACATAAAAATCAACTATTACGGTTAAGCCTGCTTGAAACAGAGCAACTCACTGTTCATTATGGCTCTAGAGACAAATAAACAAGTTTTGTAGAGTATCAGAGGAAATATTAGGCAGATATTTTATCAAATTCAGTCCTGAGGTACTGACTATAAGATTTTTATTAAAGAGAGAATTACCGTTCAAAAAGACGAGCTACAATATGCAGTGCCCACTTCTTACACTTCCACCATACTAGTTCAGGTCTATCATCCTCATCAATTTGCAGAGTCTCCTAACAGAATAGAATACCCACATGAAACATGGACATAATAAAGAGGATTTATGTGAACAAAGGCAGAATAAATCTTAATCATTGAAAATATTTGTAATAGACCTAAATGAAAATTTAATTTCAAAACAGAATCTACATATGTACCATTTATAGAAATAAAATAATGGGTGCATATATTGTTACTGCTGTTGTTAGGTGCCATCAGGTTGATTCCAACTCATAGTAACCCTATGCACAACAGAACAAACCACTGCCAAGTCCGGCACAATGCTCGGAATTATTGTTAGGTTTGAGTTCATTGTTGCTGCCATCATGTTAATCCATCTCATTAGAGGTCTTCCTTTTCATCGCTGACCCTCCACTTATCCAAACATGTTGTTCTTTTCCAGGGAATGGTCCCTTCTGATAAATGGTCTATAGTATGAGATGCTTCTAAACAGCATGCTGGCTGTACTTCTTCCAAGAGAGATTTGTTTGTTCTTCTGGAAGTCCATGGTACTTTCAATATTCTTCTCCAAAACCATAACCCAAATGCATCAATTCTTCTCTGGTCTTCCTTATTCATTGTCCAACTTTCACACGCATATGAAGCAACTGAAAATACCATAGCTTGGCCCAGGTACACCTTAGTCTTCAAATGGACGTCTTTGTTCTTGAACACTTTTAAGGGGTCATCAGCAGATCTCCCTAATGCAACATGTTGTTTGATTTCTTGACTGCTCCTTGCATGGGTGTTAATTGTGGATCCAAGCAAAACAAAGTATTTGACAACCTCAAGCTTTTCTCCCTTTATCATGATGTTATTTATTGGTCCAGTTGTAAGAATGTTTGTTTCCTTTACACTGAAGTGCAATCCATACTGAAAGCTGTAGTCTAACTCCTTCACTTCACTCACAGCAAGCAAGGTAGTATCATCTGCATATCGTAGATTGTTAATGAATCTTCCTCCTATCCAGATGTCACATTCTTCTTCATATAAATCAGCTTCTTGGACTATTTGCTCAGCATACAAATTGAATAGCGTGGTGAAAAGATACAACCTGAAGCACACTGCTCCTGATTTTTAACCATTCAGCATTCCCTTTGTCTAGTCGAACAACTGCCTCTTGATCTATGTACAGGTTTTTCATGAGCACAATGAAGTATTATGGAATAGCATTCTTCATAATGATATTCAGTTTGTTATAATCAACACAGTCTAATGCCTTTGCAGTCAATAAAGCACAAGTAAACATTTTTTCTGGTACTCTCTGCTTTCAGCCCAGATTCATCTGACATCAGCAATGATACCCTTCATTCCATTTCCTTCATTCTTCTGAATCCAGATTTGAGTTTCTGGCAGCTCCCTGTCAATGTACTGCTGCAATCATTTAATAATTATCTTCAGCAAAACTTTACTTGCATGTCGTATTAATGCACTGTTCAGTGATCTCTGCATTCTGTTGGGTAACCTCTCTTTGGAATGGGTACAAATATGTCTCTCTCCAATCAGCTGGGCCAGTAGCGGTCTGCCAAATTTTGTGACATAGATGAGTGAGTGCCTTGAGTGCTGCATCAGTTTGTTAAAACATTTCAATTTGTATTCCATCAATTCCCATAGCCTTTGTTCATGCTCTTCCCTCAATATCACTGGCTCCAGATCATATGGTTACCTCTTGAAACGGCTGGCCACTAATCAACTCTTTTGGGTACAGTGACTGTGTACTCCTTCTATGTTTTATTGATGCTTCCTGCATTATTCAATATTTTTGCCCATGTTGTTGTTGTTAAGTGCTGTCAAGTCAATTCTGACTCATAGCAACCCTGTATAGGATTCCCAAGAAGCGGCTGGTGGGTTTGAACTACCAATATTGTGGGTAGCAGTCCAGTGCTTATCCTGATAGCACCACACCAGGACTACAGCACCCATAGAATCCTTCAATACTGCAACCTGAGGCTTGAATATTTTTCTTCATTCAGTTGCATATAGATATAAAGAAAAAAAGACTAGAGGAATAAATGGTAAGTTTTGTTTTTTTTTTTAAATAGTTATCACCATTTTTCTAGGAGAATAAATCAACATAGTAAGTCTCATTTATCCAGCATAAGATTCTAGATAAATGATTTTACTAGGATTGGATAGTGGTGGTGGTGTGCTGTCGAGTCGATTCCAACTCATGGTGACCCTGTATAGGCTTTCCAAGACTGTAAATCTTTACAAGAGCAGAAAGCCTCATCTTTCTCCCACTGAGTACCTGATGGACTCAAACTGCTGACCTTGTGGTTAGATGCCAATGTGTAACACTCTACACTACCAAGGCTCCTTTTTACTAGGATTATACACAGTTATTATTATTTGCTTACCTGAATTTCCTAAAAAATGTGTATGTATCATCAATTTCTTTGGGTTAATGCACTGGACTGCAAAGTCGTTTGAACTGCAAGGTCGGTGGTTCAAGCTCACCAGCTACTCCTAGGAAACCCTATACAGGGTCGCTATGGGTCGAAATCAACTCTATGGCACTTAACAGCAAAGTTTTGTGACTAGCAGGCTAAAATAAAAAAATTAGTCTACCAAATATCCCAAACCCAAGTTTCATCAATTTTCCTTAGGAACAGAAGCCTTTTCTTACAGGAGGAACTGTTCTGTCAATAATCGTCCGAAAAATCTCCATCCATTCTGTCATCATTTGGTTACTCATCAGTTGAAGAGGCAATGCATACTGGAAATAGAAGAATAACAACATAAACAAGAATTTGTCTCCTTCAAAAATATTAGCAATTTTATCTACATTGTAAGGTCAAAATATGTGAAAAGGCCATGAAAACAGCAATTTCATATAGCTCAATCAAAAATTAAACCTAGCCTACATACACGCGTGCATAGATGTATATTGCTTAAATCTAGAAGTAGAAGCACCAAACTTCACAGAGGTAGGAGGAAGAAGTGGGATTTCTGTTGTGATTTCACGCGTGATGTGATAAAATCAGGCTTTCAACTCTATTTACTTGGGGAATATATTTGACTTGCTTCTTTAGGCACCCTTTTAAATAAAAAAATTTAAAAATCAACTCAGTAAGTCTCATTTATTCAGCATAAGATTCTAGACAAATGATTTTTAATATTTACCCCTTGGTGTGTCAAACTAATTTAAACCACTCTGATCAAATTCTTTACTTCATTAAACAGAGTACTGCTATTCATAAACATTTAATCAGTTTTTTCCCCTACACAAGAGTTCATTTCTGTATTACACGAGAATGTGTTTGCGTCATTTTGAGCTGCAGGAGATGAGGGACAGTGTTTCTGAATTCATTCATTCCACTAACATTCATATGCTAAGGACATGAGATGACAGATATGATCTCTGCCCCCAGGAGGCTTACACTCTAGATAAGAAAGCACACATATACACAAGGAATTACCATGTTTTATGATAAACAATATAGATAAAAGTAATGCAATATTGATAACACATACAGGAGGGTCATCTCATCTAACTTGGAAATAACCGGACAACTACCTTCCCAGAAGACACAAAGTACGAGCTGAGACCTGGAGAAAGAGCACCGATTGGCCAGGCCATAGAGGGGAACAAGGGTGAATCGGATTTGAAAAAATTCAGAAGCGAGACAGGGCCTGTTCATAAAGCTGAAAAAATTTCAGTATGGTTGGAATGTAAAGCGCAAAGGTATAATTGGTAAAAGATGACGTCAGAGATGAAAGGTTTTTTTAAAGGCCATGAGAACATAAAGTAACAGTCAATAATAGCTATAGCTGTTAAGTGCATTCAATGAGTCAGGATGAAATACAAGATATGTCTTTGTCTTCTGCTATAGAAACCTACCTGAACAAGGGCATAAAAAATTTTCAGAATCTGTTTCTGCAGTAGCACAGAATAATGGGAGGAGTCAGGAAGGAGCTGGATGATTTGCTGCTGAATACGAGGCAGAAATATTTGCATTGCTGCTATAAGGGGCTCTCTTTCCTCTGCTTTCTTATACCTACGAAAGACAGAAAAATAATTTCTGACCCTAAAACAACTATAAACAATAAATGGATATATACATGGGAATACAGGGGCTCTGTAAGATAAGCATGGGATTGCAAACCACAAAGTCGGTGATTCAAGTGCAAAGGTCACTCCACGGGAGAACGGTGAGGCTTTCTGCTCCTGCAAAGATTTAAACCCTTGAAAGCCCCATACAGGGTGGCTAGGAGTTGGCATCAACTTGACGGCACTTAACAACAACTACATATATATAAAAAAACTGTATGTTGGGGCTTCTAAAATTTCATGGAAAAAATCCATTACCTTTTAATGAACTTTTTGAAGCCCACTTGTATAGGATTGCTAGAATAAAGTTGGAGTAAACCTTGAAAGGGCAATCCCTATTTTAGGCAGGACATCTAAAATCTTCTAAGAAAATTTAGACTCATTTTAAAAGAATCCATGACTATTCTGCAGCTTTCCTACATGAACTTTTCAGGTACTTAAGTACGTCTTCAATTATACCACAATTTCTTACCTATAAAATACAAGTCGACTGATAATACTTGAAATAGACAAATGTTCTTATTCTATGACATACACTTGGGGGGGGGGGAGGAAATATTTCTTCTTATACCATTCTAAATTAAGAACTTCAAATAGTTTACAAACTTAGGTGTTCGTAGATCTTTTCATCTGCTATAAACTTAAAATATTCTCTCGATGTTCTAAAAATACAGTGTGAACTAATTAGTTTAAAAGAAAGAAAACTATAGGATTTTATATGTACAAGTAGCAATCCTCTCAGAAAACAGAAAGCGACACTATTAAGATGATACTGAATTCCCTGCCTGAAAAGCAACTTTACGGAAAAAGAATGTCACTAGCAAAGAAACAAGGAACACTGGTAGCTCAGTGGTTAAGCACTTGGCTGCTAACCCAAAGGTGGGCAGTTCAAACCTACTCATTGTTCTGCAAGAGAAAGATGTGACAGTCCGCTTCTATAAAGATTTCAGCCATGGGACCCCCACGGGGAAGTTCTGCTTGTCCTACAGAGTCTCTATGAGTCAGAATCGACTTGACGGCAATGAGTGTGGGTGGTATTTTGTTATCAAAGAGACTTTAACAATCTCTAGCATGCATCCAAAAGGTGCATGTTTGGTTTATTTAACAGCAGTCTCACAATGAAAATAAATCTTAAGGTCCCTTTCTATCAATGTTTCCAATAAAAGCTGTTACTAAGTGGTCCTCTGACACTATCAAATTATTTTGAGAAGCTCAGAATATTATATTCCTGTTATTAGCAGTGCACCCACTAGCATTTTAAAGGTTGTTTGATTAACTGCAGTAAACAAACATATTTAACTCATCTTTTCCTAAAGTAAGCCGATTCTACAAAACACCCCTAACGTAGACCCCTTTATGTAATTTATCACAAAGCTGGTATATACAGCTGATAGAAATCAACTTACTCATATGTCTTCACCAGTTGATACAGACATAATAAACTACCAAGCCAGCTTCCACTGCTCTGGGATTGTAAGTAGTAGTCTATCTTGTCCACTACCGATGGCCAATGACCAGGAAAATCATGTTTAATGATGGCACGTAGACACATTGTTAACTGAACTCTGTGGGAGGAAGGGAGAGAGAGTCCAAAAATGTAAGCAGGATAGATAGATATCAAGTTTCAATATAATAGTTTACATACAAGTATTCTAACTTTACCTACATTAAGTAGCTACATATTGGAGATGGAAAAAAAAGTAATTCCTCTAAAGAAAAATCTCAATGGCTTAACTTATTGAAAAATAAACAGAATGATGATTTCTTAAAATGAATAAAGCCTTCACTGTCTTACCATAAATACATCGCTCAAAAGAAAAGAATTAGAAAAATAAATTTATAAACATTTTCAAAACATCATTAAGACAATTAATTCAGCGCAGCTCTGAAAATTTTTCAAGCTCACTTTATATTACTCTATCCTAAGTAGTTCTGGCGTGGCACTATGGCACTGTAGGATAAGCACTGGACTGCCAACCACAAGACTGGCAGTTCAAATCCACCAGCCACTCCTTGGAAACCCACTTAACAACAACAACAATCTTAAGTGGTGGGGAGACAAAGTACTATATTGTTTCAACTGGGCAGTCTTAGCCTACAGATAGTAAAAGTAAGTAAAAAAGAAGCCCAGGTAACTGAGAAACCTCTCTTGGCCAAAACCTTGAGCCTACCCATTATCTGTGAATGACCAACACCACTAAGTATATTGCACCTATCAACAGCTGCCTGAGAATGCTAACTTTTATACTCTGAATATAAGATCTAAGTATCAGTTGTGTAATTTCTGAGAAGGAAAACAAAGAGCTGCTTCCAAGCAAACAAATAAAAGAGAAACAATAGTAAGAACAGAGAAATATAATACCCTCTAATAAAACTGCAAAATTACGTTAAGCGATGTGATCTCCCTACACTTAGATCAGTAATCATTTCCTCAGGGGATCCCAATTCCCATTAGAAAAGAAAATGAGAAAAAGAATTTACCTTCAACAGTCAATATATTCTAACCAAATATGACGTTACATGATCATTTGCAAATAGTTAGAAAGTGAATCTAGCTAAATTAGGATTTCACAGTGTAAAAAAAAAAAAAAAAGGTGTGTTCAGGTGAACAGCAAATAACTTGAATTTACTGAAAGTGGCAAAATAAACATAATAATGTCTTTTTCTTATGTTACCAACTAACTTCAAAATATTGTAAACTTTAAGTCTAGGAAAGAAAATATTTCTCCAAGAGTTAACTCTTAAGGGCATAAAAGAAAGGAAACAACAATGAATTAATCATGATAAAGGTAAAGACACCCTGTTTGTCATCAGCAACTGTTTGTTTAAACAAATAGGTCACACTTGTGGTGCCATAAGATGAAAACTTTACATTTTTTGTAAAATTTCATCTTCAGATTCTCTCTCCAAATCCTTTTTCATTTCAAGTCAAGCAAAAGGTGGCTGTGAAAGGAGGAGAAACCTTCCAACTATAAATCATTATTGTTTAATGCATTTGTATGTAGAATCATTGAAGATACAGGAAAAGCTGAAAATGGAAAGACTTTTGACAAGAATCAGAATACATGATGGCCTGGAAGGGTACAATTGCCTTGACTGGCATTTGGGCAACCACTCAGAATACAAATGCTTTTCTTTAATCAAGGACGATTTTCTTTATTCAGCAAACTTGTTCAGTGTTAGTCCTCTGCCCTGCTACCATTTCCCTCACATTTCCTTTCCTTCCTACTGCTTATGTCATTAGTCTATTGGACACTCAGGCTATATCTAGTCTGACATTAAATAATCTCATTCCCCTTCATCCATTTCACCTATAGAAGAATTTATTTCTATTTGAAGACCACACAATTTTCTACAGCTATGTTGTCCAATAGAACAGCCACTAGCCAGATAAGCACACTTCAAATTAGTCAAAATTAAACAAATTAAAATTTCTATTCCTAGTTGCACTAGTTACATTTCAAATGTTTAATAGCTACCTGAGGATAGTGGCTCAATACTAGGCAGTGTGACTAAAAAATATTTCCATCACTGTGTAAAGTTCTGTTGCTGCTCTACAGCATTTGTGAATTTGAGAAACAGGAGGTAATTCTTCTAGCTTGGACCCCTCTCTATCCTGTCAACTCAGTTCATGAAAGTAAATAAAACATGAGGGAGCTTCAAAATAGTGCAAGTAAAAATGGTATTGGAGTCCTGGTGTAATGCTGCAGGATAATGTGCTAGACTGCAAGGTCAGTTTAAACCACAAGGTAGGCAGTTCAAACCCACCAACCGCTCCTTGGAAACCACACACAGGGTCACTGTGAGTCAGAACCAACTTGACGGCACTTAACAACAACAAATGGTAATAAAAGGTAATGGAATTTTTTTCATTAAAATTTTTATGCCCCTTTGTATATCTGAGCTAAAGGGTTAGGAAAAGTTGTTGTTGTTGTTAGGTGCCGTCGAGTCGGTTCCAACCCATAGCGACCCTGTACAGGATTTCCGAGGGTGTAAACCCTTACGGGAGTAGAAAGCCTCATCTTTCTCCCGCGGAGCAGCTGGTAGTTTCGAACCGCTGACCTTTAGGTTCACAGCCCGATTCGTAACCACT